ACCATCTGGGGAGGAGGGTAACTGAAAGATGCTGCCCAGGGTTAGGACGGGCCAAGCACAGCCCCCACTCTGGGCCTGTGCCAGGTGCTGTGGTTTCTGCCACTGCAAATGCTCATTTCCATAATTATTATTTAGCATTTGGAGAACAGTTGTTTCACACACAGTGTGCTGTGCAGCCAGGAGGGCCTCCCAGTTCATGCAGTAAAATTTCCATTTACTCTGGACATCAACCACGATGATTAAAAAAAAAAATCCATAAATTATTTACTGAAATGGAAGTTCAGCTTACGGTAATAATGCATTAGTTCAGCTAGCCATGAAGCCTGTTATAGGGCAATAAATTTTTTTTTATTTTCCTTTTTAAATGATATCTGCCAGTAACCTACACATGACCTTGAGCTGATCAATTTTCAAAAATGACACTGCAGGGAGGGCATGTAAGGAGAGAGAAGTGGAGAGCTTTTTTCAAATGGCCTGGTTTTAGGCAATTGTCAGCAAATACCTGTCATCTCAGAGCCAGAAGGAGAAAAGGAATGAAAATATATATTGTATTTTTTAAGCATAAGAACCAGACCTTAAAAATCCTTTCCCCCTCTTTTTTTTTTTTTTTAAGAGAGAGACAGAGTAACATCATCGACATCAATCTGTTGCAACCTGGGCATGTGCCCTGACCTGGAATCCAAACAGCAATCTTTCGGTGCACAGGACGATGCCCAGCCAACCAAGCCACACCAGCTAGGGCTTAAAAATTCTTTTGAAATGGAGCATTTATTTGATAGATACATAAATCTGAAAGCTAGCAAGAAGGCCTATTTGGAAAAGCCGGGAGTCACCATTGTTGAGACCACCTGTCATTTTGTATGAGCCTGGAGCCTTGTAGAATAAAAGCCGGCCAATGGTTCAGTCTTCATCCTTTAAAATGTTGTATGTATGGAGCAGGATCGATTTAATGTATCTCAGAGAGTCTACGATTCTGCTCACGGCCATTTGCTGACTAATGTCTCCAGCAGAGAAGAGCAACAAGCGAGTTCCTGAATTATGGCTGTCTTTGACATGCTCTTGTCAAGACCATTTTTTATTTTAAGAACATCTGCTTTGATTAAAGCCATTAGAGCCGGAGCAAATAAAATATCTGAGTTTTACATGCCTCTCATTTTATAGCAGGAGCCCCGCTAAAGCCTGCCTTTGAATTCTTAACCACAAGGACAGGCAATGAATATTAACCTAACAAGTTAAACTAGTTCCTCGTCAGCTATCTGGTTTGGGGTTCTAAAAAAAATCCCATGCAGGAGACTTGGTTGAGTCATATTTTTACTTATTTATATCCTCTGCTGCAAAAAATATTTATATACCTCCTTTGCTGCAATTTTTTTTTTTTTAAAAGGAGTGTTTGGGGTTGGGTCCCGGGGTAAGGGTGAATTTAGAGACCTTCAAATCAACTGATTTTATATACACTAAACTAAAAGAGATTGCACAGTAAATATACAAGTCAGAAGTGATGTTAAATTAACCAAAATTAATAACAAAGGAGACCTGACAATGATTTTCTCTTGGTTGATCAGAAAGCTACAGGGTCCCTTCCTTCTCCCTTTAACCGTGGCTGTGTGCCTCATAGTTTGCATTCTTGAAATGGTCAGTGTTTTTCCGATTTTTTTAATGTGACGTCATCAAATCCCTCTATGCTCCTGCATTTCAGGGTAACTTAGTGCTTGGAAGGTGAGGTGCTTTGAGTGTCTGCTTAACCTAGTTGGAATAGTGGAGTAGGTATTCCTTTAAATGCCCAGATTTTCTGCTTTGCCCTTGACTACACTCCCCGGTAAAGCATTTTTCCTTAATCTCTCATTTACCAGCCTCCTCTCCCTGCTTCCACAGATGGGGCTCAGTTTCTTCTCATCAGCTTCCTTTCTCTCCTCCAAGCCTGCGCTCTAAAAATCTCCACTCCTGCCGGACTTTTAGCTTTGCCTACCTCTCCTCTTGCCGATGTGCCAGAGTCACCCCGTGTGTACTGAACTGGAACATCACATCAGTGGGGGCAGTCATGGGGCAGATGTTATTGTAGTGGCTTTACGGAGAAGCATAAATGGCTGCAGCTAATGACGGAATTTCTTACGGTGGATAATGGCCTCTGCATATCGGTCGCCAGGACACACAGCATGTACTTTGTACATATGGACATCTCATAGATCAGCTCTCTCTTGTTGTCTGTGAGCATAGATCTGCCAGATATTCTTATATCAATAGATAATATTCCAGTGACCCCATTGTCTTTTTTCCTAACCGCGCACTTATTAAATGGAAGCTCTCAAGCTTGGTCGGGGCTATTAGCACACCAGAAACTTTCCCTACCCCTCAGGGGCTAAAGTGGGCTTTTTCGTATTATTTCCCCCAGGAATTTCTGAACATGGCTTTGACATCCTACATAGTTAAAGAAATATTAGCTTGAGGACAAGGTTGTCTCTATAGGCTTTGTGCTGGATTGCTGCTCACTGAGTGGTGGGCTATCTTTGATTTGGGATATATAGAGCTGTAGATGCGGGTGTGCATGATATTCATCTATCTATAAAAATGTTGCTCCGTACCTCCTTTGTGGATCAGTTTTAAGTCATCACACAGCGTAGCTGCATTTTAATTTCTGATGGAAGGAGTCCCTGAAGTTTAATTGCCTCTAGGCCTGGTTGAGTGATCAGCAAGCCAAGTGATTTATCTCATAGTGAACGGAGACAGAAGGGGAGGGAAGCCCAAGGAGAACCCAAAAGATCCTTGGCTCTTGCCCTCACATACCCTGGAATCCTCTGGGGGCCCGAGGCATGTGTGGCCCAACACATGCTATTGTGCAAGTCAGTGGGCCATGCTCTGAGGAGGGCTGAGTGATGGCATAATTAGAACCAAGCAGACAGCAGGGGGGACGGTTAGTCTGCCGATAATGGCTTGTTTGCTAATTGCCAACACCAGATTTTCTGGGTAATTAGACATTTGGTTTCTTCCAAGACCTTCTGTGCAAATGTGGACACATGGCCCTAGGTCTTCCAGGTAGCAGGTGGAGAGAGGGTGGCTCCCAGTGCAGGATGGCATCTCTCTCTCTCTCTGCTGGCTGCCCGAAGGGCCATGGGCAGGGCAGACTTGTCGCCAACAGGTGGAAAGGACCATGTGGCTGGGCCCCCTAGTGGAGAGGCTGAATCCCCCCTGATTTTATAGAAGTGGATGCCCCTGTGCTAGGAGATTAGCAAGGAGGGTGGAGTTTAGCAGGCTGGGCCAATAACCTGGCTTATATCTCCCTTCTCCTTTCAAAAGTACTGAGCTATAGGTGCTAATAGGAATTGAAAGTTGCTTCCCCTCTCAGATGTGCAAGTTGAGTTTTTAAAATAAATATTTATTGTGGTAAAGTAAAAAATGTATATTACATATATAATGTAAAATTTGCCATTTTAACCATTTTTAAGTGTATAAATCCGTGGAATTAATTATAGTCAGTATTATGTAATTATCACCACTATCTATTTCCAGAATTTTTCATCACCCGAAACAGAAACTCTGCACCCCCTATTTCTCCCTCCCCACAGCCCCTGGTAACCTCTATTCTACTTTCTGTCTCTATGGATTTGCCTATTCTAGATATTTCATGTAAGTGGAATTATACAAATTACTATTTGTCCTTTTGTGTCTAGCTTATTCCACTTAGCGTAATGTGTATTAGATACATCCATGTTATGATGTGCATGAGAATTTCATTACTTTTCATAGCTGAGTAATATTCCATTGTATGGATATACCGCATTTTGTTCCCATTCATCTATTGATGGACACTGGGTTGTTTCTACTTTTTGTTTATTGTATCTGTTTGAATTCTCATTTTCAGTTATTTTGGGTAGGTACTTGGGAGTGGAATTGCTGGGTCATATGGTGATTCTATATTTGACTTTTCGAGGAACCACCAAACTCTTCCCCAGTGGCTGTGCCATTTTGCATTCGCATCAGATATATACAAGGGTTCCTGTTTGTGCACATCCTTGCCAACACTTGTTTCTATTCCTTTTTTATTATAGCCGTCCTAGTATCTCATTGCAGTTTTGATTTGCACTTTTCTAATGACCACTGATGTTAAACCTCTTTTCACATGCTTCTCGACCATTTGTGTGTATTCTTTGGAGGAGTGTCTGTTTAAGTCCTTTGCCCAGCAAGCTGATGTTTTGCTTCTGCACCTTTCTTCCCGAGGCTGGAATTGAGCCTCACAGGGAGAGGACCATACGCCTGCAGGGAGGGGAGGTGGCTGCGCAGACTGGAAGCTTCACATTCGTTCTCACATGATTCGTTTCACTCCCTTGGCCTGCTCGGCATCCACTGTCATGATGTTTGAGTTCGCATCAGGCAGGAAAAAAGAATCAGTGGGGGTGTGGGATTAACCCAGGTGCTTGACCGCAGGGGCAGAGGGAGCCACTCCTGGTCTCCTCTAGAAGCAGACAGGCCTTTCTCAGACACCTCACACCCTCTGGGCTCCTTGACCACAAGTTTGTTTTAGCAAATTACCATTTTTTCCCCCCTCCCAGGTACTAGGCTATGTACTGAATGGAGCAGTATTTGCAGAGTACCCCGGATGGTGCCTGGCATGTGCAGGTGCCCGGGGTCTGGCATCGTCCCTGCAGTGGGAAGCCCACAGTTCAAGACCTGCTGCTGTGTGGGCCCTGCCAGTCCTGGGCAGCAGGCAGGGACTGCAGTGTGGAGCCTCCAGCACTGACCAGGGACAGTGTGACTTCTCCTTGGTTGCTCACCCCTGGTCCCTGGGAGAAAAGGAATGCCTCATTCGGTCAAGTTTTAAATACTAAATAAATGTAAAGGGGCCCTGATACCTGACCTGTGTGTCTGGGGTCAGCCTGGCCCACCACGTTAGCCGGCTTTTCAGGGGCAACTGTGCCCTTAGGAGCAAAGCCACGCAGCCTTGTTCCTGTTCCCTGCCCCTCCCCCCCCCCACCTCTAAGGAGCATACTTTATCTTTCTTTTTCCAGAAACGGCCCCCACGTCTACATATTCATCTCCGGCCCGGAGTCTTGGGGACACAGGGATCACGCCTCTGTCCCCTTCCCACATCGTGGTAAGAAATGCGCATATGTGTGGGAGTGTGTGCTGATTACCTTGGCTTTTTGGGTCTGTTCTCTTGAGGCTGCTGAGCAGCCCCTCATGTTCACGGGTGGAGATGAGACGGTCCTGGTGCCAGCCGTGTGAGCCCCCTTCCCACTCTGGGCCCAGGGTGGCTGGTGGCTTCGGGGACACGTGGCCCATAGCTTGCTTGCTGTGCCTGCAGAACGACACCGACTCGAACGTCTCGGAGCAGCAGACGTTTCTCGTGGTGGTGGCCGTCGACTTCGGGACCACGTCCAGCGGCTACGCCTACAGCTTCGCCAAGGAGCCGGAGTGCATCCACGTGATGAGGCGAGTGCTGCGGGCGGGCAGGGGCCCGAGCTGGTGCCAGCCCCCGCACCTGGGAGGCCTGGGGAGGGCCCTGGGGGGGAGAGGGATCGGTTAGCAGGCGGGCCCTGAATCCGGCCCAGCTCGGCCCGAACTCACTGCCACTTTGGTATAGGCCACTTCCAGGCTCCGGGTTCGTGGTCCGTGAAAGCGCTGGTTTAATTCTGACGTAGCTGGTCTGGGGAAGGGCGTGGATGGTCTGTTTGAAACCTGTCGCGGGTGATTCCAGCTTGCAGCTGGGGGAGAGGCGCCCGCTCACAGGCCGTCTGTGGTGGACACTTCCTCTGTGACCGTAGGCAATTGCTAAACCTTCTGAACCTCAGTTTTCTTATCTGTGAAATGAGGACAATGACCATACCTGCCTCACAGGGTGTGCGTTCAAATGAAGTGAGGTTTCCTGTCAGGTGCTCAGCACTGAGTAAATGTAAGTGGGGAAGGTGCCAGTTCTTCCAAGCGGAGTGTCATGGGACAGTGACCAGAGCAGAGTGTCATGGGACAGTGACCAGAGCAGAGTGTCATGGGATCACAGTGACCAGAGCAGGAAGCACCATGCCTGAGAAAAAGCAGAGTGGGGTGAATTTCAGCCAAGTGAACCTCCAGGGTCACCCTGGAGTGGCCTGGGGATCTCCTGGGCACGCTTTGTGCTCAGGACACTCCCTGCCCCCACCCCCATGCACACAGCAGCCCAGCACGCCCTCGGGCCCACCCTACCCACACCTGACTGACTATCTATGAAGATTCTGGTCAGTCCAGCACCAGCACCGCTCCCCCGGCCTGGCCATGGCTCCCCGCAGAGTCTTCAGCCCTCAAAGCTTTGGGAGCCAGGGATTTCTCTCTTGGTTTTCCAAATCCAGGGATGGCTCCGAGGATACATTGTGATTGGCAATTCCTTTAACTGGTAATTGTGGAATTTAGTTACTGCTCCCAGAGTAAGATTTTAGGCATTTTTTTAAAGTGCTGTTGAAAACACAAGTTGTAATAAAAGTAATCCCCACACAATCTTGGTTAAGGCCCCGCCTTTCCCCTGGAAAACCAGATGTGACTTGACCGAGGCCCCCACATTAAGAGGCTCCAGAGACCTGTGGTGTCATCTCATCAGGAAATTGTGAAAGGCCGGCTGTAGTAAAGACCCGGGGACAGCACAGCCCTTGGGTTCAGCCGGATTGAGCCAGGATTCTGCCTCTGACTAGCTAGACAGGGGCTGTGGAGGGTCTCTTGGCTTTGCCATCTCCGAGATGGAAAGCCTGAGTGAAGAACTCTCTGTTAAAAGCTAGAATCAGTGTTTACCAGTGTCTCCGTAGTTGTCTTAAGAAATGCTATTTCCAAGAGATAGTCATGCAAAGAAAATTGGGCGGAAAAAAGAGCAGAAATAACTCTGAACTTGCTTGGGAGGAACCCTCACAAACATTGGCAGCATCGAGGGCCTCAGAGATGTTATCTTAGTTACTGTAGCAATTTTGGAAGGAATTTTACTTCAGTCAGAACATATGACAAAGTTATGAATGAGAGAGTTTAATTTTTTGTACTTAAGTAGTAACGAAGGAATATAGAATTGAAGGGAAAGCTCAGGTGGTCAGTACTGACGTAATATCAGTGTTGGCGGCAGTGGAAGGCCCGTTTGGGAAAGGTGGTGTGTGGAGTGCTCCCCTGGCCCCGGTGCCCAGTGTCTGCCCGGGTTGGCAATCAGCCCTGTGTCTCAGTGGGGTCACCACGGGGACTTAGCTCCCTGGTGGAGCCTGCGCCCTGATGGAGCTTGACTGGGACGCTAGCCCGGGACGATTCCAGACCCCTCTGGGCGGCAAATCCAGGTGGAGCTGGCTGTCTGTCTGGACTGCGGCTTAATGATGCTGTGTCGGCAGCAGGTGTGACCCAGCCAGGAGCCGGCCACCTCCCCGGGTGGGCCAGGGAGAGGGCACGATTCTCCTCCATACCCTGTCTCCACCGAGACCGCTCGTAGGGGTCATGGCTAACGGCAGGACGGGAGCCAGCTGCGGGGCCAGGGCCTGGTAGAGGAGAGAGCATCCTGGCCTCGGCAGCTGTAGCTTCTTTGCATGACCCCAGAGGAGGGAGAGGCATCGAGTCACCTGCCCTCTCCACTCACCCGCCCTCTCTCCCCCTTTCTATGCGAGAGAGGGAGGAAGCATCTCGGGCTCAGCTGGCCCTGCCCATCCGTCACCCCTCCCGTGAGTTCCAGGTGTAGTCCCGTAGCACCTGCCTGCCTGTCTGTCTGTCCCCACCTCGTCCCTGTCCTGGCTTCACTTCAGCACACAGCCCTGCAGGATCTGGTCCCTTCCCTCCTCACTGTTCCCATCAGTGCCCTCATCCTACCTTGTAAGGAGACACCCAGGTCTGTTTCTGGCCCCCGGGAACTCCCAGGCTTGCATCTCCAGCCCCCCTCCCGAGGAGTTCAATGCCAGCACGTTCCGCCAGAGCTCCCCACGTCCCCTGCAGCCTCCCTGTCCATGGATCCTGGTTTCTGTAAAGGGCACCTTCTCTAGGTGCCCAAGCTTGAAACCTCCGGGATGTCTTGGCTCCTACTCACCACTGTGTCCATTTGGCTCGGCTCTCCCTCTGGATGATCCGCCCCCTCTCCATCTCCCCTCTCCCTTCGTTGGCTTTCTACCCTTGTTCGGACTCTCTCGCCTCTGCTCCCAGATGAGACCTGAACTGCCTCCTCAGCCTCCTAGGTTCCAGTCTCCCTCCGTTTCATCTGACTTGCTCTGGTCAACAGCAGCTGTGATTCTGCCATGCTCCTGCTCTAAAAACTTCAGTGGCTCCCCATTACTCACTGATTAGATCTCTAACTCCTCTGGCTCTCTTCTGCCTGGTTCCCGCCACCTTCCCAAACTTGCTTTTCACGCTTCCCATTTATAGTCACTCTTCTCATTGACATGCTAGTTCTCTAACCTGCACACTCACACCCCTGCCTGCCCACCTCTGAGCAGCTTGCCCTGTCCTTTCCTCCTTCAAGGTCCACTTGTCTGTCACCCCTCCAAATCTCTCCTGAGCCCTGCATCCTTCCCCCTGCACCCCACCAGCTGGCACCTCTGCTTTCTCTGACCCTGAGGCATTTCCCTGGCATTTCGAAAGAAGGTGCCATCACCCCTGTCTTTCCTTGGCGACAGGCGGTGGGAAGGAGGTGACCCTGGGGTGTCAAATCAGAAGACCCCGACCACTATCTTGCTGACTCCCGAGAGGAAGTTCCACAGCTTCGGGTATGCTGCCAGGGACTTTTACCATGACCTGGATCCCAACGAGGCCAAGCAGTGGCTGTACCTGGAGAAATTCAAGATGAAGCTGCACACCACTGGGGTAAGCGAGCCTCTCCCTGTCCCCAAGTCCTCTGCGTTGGAGAGCCAGGGTTCCTCTTGTCTTGTGAGTGTGGGGTTCTTCCAATTCCGGGGAACTTTGGGTTTCTCCCAGGCACAAATGCATGTCCATTTACCTGGATTTTAGAAATTACCTGGAGCACCCAGCTTTTTTGTGGAATACACACACTTTCTGATGTACATGTGAGCAGGGAGATGTTCAAAATATTTAACAACTTGTTTGCCTTGGGAACTGACCAGTGAGAGTGGATACTGGCAGGAGCATAGGCCCAGGGGGCTGGGGATCCCATGCCAGGAAGTCCCCCTTTAGCTGCTGGATTATTGGGATATTAGGGAATTCTGAAGGAGGGACTTGAGGTCAGGAGCATTTGGAGGGATAAGGGCAGTGATTGGCCGGGAGGAGGGAGCTTGTGCCGATGGGTCAGGATGACTGACAGGCTTCAGGAGGCTGATTTAGCAGCTCGATGCTCCTTCATACTCCAAAGGCAACACCTAATTATCCAGCCAGGATCAGTCTGAGGCCCCACTGATTTTTGTTCCTTGGTAGTAATGAGCCTGTTGGTTCCAGAAGCACAGGGGCTTTCTCTGCCCATCCCCACTCTGTGAGGACATTTCTCGTTATTTTTTAGTGACCTCAGTCCATGCAGCATCTCGCAGAGCATCCTGCACACAAGGACGGCACTCAGCATCTGCTTAGGCTTTCGGCGGAGGAAGGGAGGCAGTGATGCTGGGCTCGTATTGGATCAGGCAGCAAAAGCCTTAAAATAGGAGCACTTCTATTTTGGTGACTAGGTTGGCAGCTCATTGGGGAATGAGAGCTTAGGTCTGTGCAGCGTCATGCATGTTAGTGAGTTGGTATGATTATGTAGGCCTCTGTCTGAGGGGCTCCCAAGGGTGACCATGTGGGCCTGAGAGTGGAAATAGTATGTAAATGACATCAGCAGTGGGACCTCCTGCCTTCCTCTCTTCCTGGGCTCTGTCGATGCCCTGAAACCTCACTCCCAGAGGATCCAGGAGAAAGAGAGAAAAACAGGGGGGAGGGAAGGAGGGGGAAGTGGGGGCAGGGCTGAGGGGAACAGCCACAGCCTCCCACGCGGTACAAGGACAATGCCTCCAGGCCTGTTCTGGGGGACACGCCATCCTGGTCTGCCTTTCAAACATTGGGAAACACAGATATGCTCACCAGCTTCCCCAGAACCACATGGAGCTGTTCCCAAAGCTAGAAGGCCCAGCTCTCCTTTGTCTTCTTACCGTTTCATTCCTCTCTTCCTGCCAGGACCTTACCCTGGATACAGACCTGACAGCAGCCAACGGCAAGAAAATCAAAGCCCTAGAAATCTTCGCTTATGCCCTGCAGTACTTTAAGGAGCAGGCGCTGAAGGTGGGACACATGGCAGTGCCTGCGGTGGTGGTGGTGGTGCACCTGCCACCTAGGGGTGCCTGGAGGAAGAGAGTGTGGGCTTTGCATTCAGAAAGCAGGGTGCACCCTCCCAACCGCAGGGGGAATGGAAAATGGTGCAGCTGCTAGGAAACCAGTCTGGAAGGTCCTAAGAAGCTTAAACAGAGTTATCATGTGACCCAGCAATTCCACTCCTAGGTGTATGCCCAAGAGAAATGAGAACACTCATTTGTGCAAGTACTCGTCCATGAATGTTCGTGGCAGCACTAGTCATAGTAACTAAAAGGCAGAAACAGCCCACATGTCCTTCAGGGGATGAATGGGTAACTAAATGGAATCTATCCATACAGTGGAATATTACTCAGCCATGAAAAGGAATGAAGTACTGACACAGACACAGCATGGATGCACCTTGAGATCATTATTCTACAGGAAAGAAGCCAGACACAAAAGGCCACCTATTGAATGATCCCATTTATATCAAATGTCCAGAACAGAGAACTGCATGGAGACAAAAAGTAGATTAATGGTTGCCAGGGACTGGGGAGAGTGTGAATGAAGAGTGACTGCTAAAGGGTGGTGATAAAATTAGATAGTGGTGATGTTTGCACAAACCTTGTGAATGTACTAAAACCCACTGAGTTGTATGCTTAAAGAAGGTGAATTTTTATGGTATGCAAATTATACCTCAGTTAAAAAAAAAGAAAAGAGAGGCAGGAGACACATGTAGCACCCATGTGACCTTGGGCGAGGTGCTCAGTGTCTCCAATACCCACATTTCTGACCCGTGTGGGTCATTAGATAGTGAATGAAATAATAGACATGAAGCGCCTCCGCGGGGGCCTCTTTGGGGTCTGGCGCAGAGTGGGGGCCTCTCTGCCTGACCACAGGTGGCAAGTCTGAGCAAGTGGAAGGAGCAGAGGGAGGCAGAGTACTGGGTGGTGGTGGTGGCGATTAAGAGGAGGAGCCATGGGAACTCAGGGAAAATTTAGGACTTGATAAAGTCCGTGACCCTGGGCCGAGTTTCAGGTTGGCCAAGAGGAAAGGAAGGAGCAGCCTGTCTCAGAAGGGGGGGCAAAAGGTCAAGCAGGGCCCGGGGGTGGCGGTCGTGAACTGGGCAGCTCAGCCTCCGGCTCGGGGAGCTGGCTGGCACCTTCTCCCAGTGGGAGCATGTGACAAAATTCCATGAAGAAAGCTCTTCGAGATTTATAGGAGCTCAGCCTTCGCAAGAGGGCTGGCTGGCATTTGAGGGACAGGTGGATTCAGAGGGACTGTCGCACTTTGGGCCAGGATAAGCTGAAGCAGAAGATCTCAGAAATCCCATGTGTGACGTTGCCTCGTTCATGAAGGAGAGCAAGCGGAAGCACCTGACAAATGAGACATTCAGTTAAAGTCAGGTTCCTTTCTCGCCAAGCTGTTCAGCGTATCTAAGCAACTTTCCATTAGCCAGGAAGCCCATCATTCCGGTTCTGAGCCTCTTCTTGCTTAGTTTAAAATAGTCTGGATGGTGATAGGTGTTCTCAGAATCCTTCCCAACACATGTCACATGCTCACTTGCTTTTAAAGCCCAGTGCAGACCTGCAAGGAAATAATAGCACGTGATTAAAAAATAAAAATAAAACAGAAACAAAACCCCAAAACTGGCTGTTTCATGTTGGCCCAAAGCAGAGATGTTTTTTAAAAAAAGTTTGCTGACTATACTTAACACTACCAAACTGTACACTTTAAAATAACAAATTTTGTCATATATATTTTTTCACAATTAAAAATGAAAAACAAAAAAGCTTACTGGTCAAAGAGGAAGTTAGTTCAGTGAGAGAGTGGGTCAGTCCCAAGATAACAATTTGAAACAATAGGGAAAAAGTGACACCCACCAGAAAAAAAAAAATCACCAGCCTGCTGATCTGAACCCTGTCCCCAGAACCGACTGTGGTACATTAATATGTGTTTCAGTTTGATTTCAGATTTGTCTGGTGACTGTGGCCACAGGAGGGGAGGGGAAGGAAGGAACCAGCATTTATCAGGGGTCTCCTCTGGGCCAGGCGTGCCATGTGTGTTTTAATTTTGTTGCTAATGCTGTGAGTTAGTTTTAGTCTCCCCATTTTACAGATGGAAATATTGAGTCAGAACAATAGAACAATACTAAAGACATATTTTGTCTACGTGGGCCTGGTGGAAACCTCTGAGGCTTCTGCCCATTCCATTTATCTACATGGTTTAACCTTGACCCAGAGTCAAGGGCAGCGTGGTTCTGGTTTAGGTCATGTCATTTGTATCCTTCCTGTCCTGCCAGGAAAAATACCCTGATGTGCTGGGCTTGGGGTGAGGTGGACACCAGTGACAGCTCTGACAACCGCCACCAGACACTGTTCCGGATACCAGACCATGTGTCACAGTTTAGTCAAGACAGACCTGGGGCTAAGTCCAAATTTTGACTCTGCCCCTTTCTAGCTGTGTAATCATAAAAAAGACAATATATTGAGGTCTTAGTTTGCCATCTATAGGAAAGGGGCACAGTTTTGATTCCTTCCTAACAGCATTCTTGGATGGATTAATGGAGATGAAGTAGAACTTAACAAGGTTGACACAGAGTAAACTCGGTAAATGTAGCTCCGAGGAAATCATCAATCCCTCTAACAACCATATGAGCTAGGAATTATTATCTGCATCATACTAAGGAAACTGAGGCCTGAGGGTTGTCACTTGCCCTAAATCACGTGGCGAGGAAGTGGCCAGAGGCCTCTGATCTGCCGTCACATTCAGTGAGGGAAGGAGCTGGGAGCTGTCTGCTTGTTGCATAGTCAGAAAACAGACCCTTGCCCCCTGGCACTGGTGGGCTCTGAGGCTGAGGAAGTTAGTTCATAGCCAGGAAGCCCAGATTCTCAACGAGGCCGCAGGAGGACCAGCTCCATCGGCTTGACCTGCTGCACTCTCCTTGTCTGTAGGAGCTGAGCGACCAGGCGGGTTCAGAGTTCGAGAACTCTGATGTCAGATGGGTCATCACTGTGCCTGCCATCTGGAAACAGCCCGCCAAGCAGTTCATGAGACAAGCCGCCTACCAGGTGAGTGCGGGAGTGGGAGCGGACGGGGCCCAGGATGCCCACGGTGGTGACTGTCACCCCACTCGGGTGTCCCCCAGCTTGCACAGGCTTCCTTGGGAGGCAGCCAGGGTCTCCCGCAGGCAGGGACCCAGGAGCCTCCCCATTGCTCAGCTTCGTCCTGGGGAGGAACGGGCTCAGACTGGCAGGAGAGGGGCTGGGTTCCATGTTCTTTCTGACTGTACATTTCTAGGTTCTGTTGTCGCTGTGGGGTCCCTGGGGCTAAGATTTTAAAATGAGGTGCAGAGACATTTCACTGTGGGTGAATGGATTGAGGATTTCAAGTAAAAGGCTTGGAAAACAAGAATGTTGGAATGAGAAAGGAATGGAGACAAAGCTCATGGTATGGACCAGGCAGATCAGCTCGGTGCTGAGGCTGAAGGCTGTACACGTGCTGCCAGGAAATGAAGGGAATCGATTTTCCTCTGCCCTTCTCACCTGTGAACACAGGAGCACACACTGTCGCCCCAGAGGGGTGAGGCTGTCACACCTGCCTGGTGGCAGACACCTGGATGAGGGCAGGGGCCTGGCTAAGGAGCATGCTAGTCAGCACAGAGCATTCCGGGCCGGTGGCCAGCCCATTCCTCATGGGTGCCTGGGGGCCCCGCTGGTGCCACAGACTCTCACAGCCTCCAGCCCTCACACTGTTTGCAAACAACTGTGCCACCACAGGGCTCCCATGAGGGTCTGCCTCCTTGGCAAGAAAGGCTGGTTGCACTGACCTGCTGTTCTGGTCCCAGAACAGAGCTGGCTCCTGTGTACTTACTGAATCCCCAGGGCCCATGAAAGCCCCCCTGGGGCTTGGATCAGCTCTCTGTGTCCCGAAAGTCAGTTTTCACAGCCATCTACCCGAGCCAGGCTGGGAAATTCACCAAGGTAATAGGTGTCCTCTTGCCTACCGCCAGGGGACATACTTCTGACATTGAATTTGTGTCCACACGGATGAACCTTTTCCTTTCAAAGCACCCACCGAGTGCACCCTGAGCACAGTGAAATGGGCACCTGGGTGTCATGAATTGTACTCGACACTCAGGGCTCTGCTCCAGGCGGCAGGTAGCGTTCAAGGAAGGGCCGAGTCCCCTCCCTGCCAGTCCCTTCCTTCCCTCCCCTGCCGCAGGCCGTCTCCTCTGCTCTCCCCTTCCTCCATTCAGCGTGAGAATCTGGCTCAGTCTATGTATCTGCCAAAAATAGATTTGTTTTCATAGGGATGAAGGAAGAGGGTGGAAGTTCCAAAAAGAAGCTAGTTCTTTAAAAAGAAAGCAGCACAGATGGGCCTCAGCTGTCCACAGAAGCCGGGCAACCTGACTGTTCCGTGGTCGTGGCCCCAGGCCGTGTCCAAAGACAGGACCCCAGGAACGACTGTCTCAGAAGACACAGCCCGTGTCTGAGCGTTTCCCAGGAAGGATACTCAAGCTTCATGGCTTTGACTCACTTTCCAGCCCACAGGAAGACTCCAGCAACAAATGTGTGACCCAGAAAAGGGTCAGTTCTTATTTTTAGCCTGAAAAAGAGAAGTGCAGTGACCGGTAGATTTGTCAGGGCTGTTAGAGCTCAGGCCGGCTGTGGGCTCTTCCAAGGACAGGGTCTCTGAAAGAGCGAGGTGGGGGCTGGGGACAGGGAGGGGAGGGGAGAGGCCTCTTAACCCTGGGGCAGCTGAGGAGGAAGGAAACCAGGCGGAGGGAGGGCATCCTCTGGGGTTTGAAAGGATCAAAATGGTACCTCAGAGAGTAGAAGGCCAGCAGGTCCTGAGCAGTGCAGATGTGACCAGCATTTATGGACGTAGGAATTTGCTTTCTGAAGCCTGGAGACGCTCTGCAAACAGGGCTGTCTTAATGCTGGGTAGCTTTTGTCTGGTGCCGTGATTGTGCAGTTTAATTTTTTTTAAATCCTTGCCTGAGAATGTTTTTTATTGATTTTAGAGAGGAAGGGGGAGAGAGAGAAACATTGATACATAAAGCATAGCTCAGCTGCCTCCCATACGTACCCCAACCAGGTATTGAACCCGCAACCTTGGTGTACGGGATGGCGCTGAAACCAATTGAGCCATCCGGCTGGGGCTGTGCAGCTTAATTTTTGACCCTTTGTAATTCTGATTTGATACTTGTGTTCAGTTTACAGTCTCTGAATGGATTTGTAAGATGCCAGGGACCATTCAATCCACTCATTCATTTATTCATTAAATATACCTGTGCTGGGAGTGTTCCGTGTGCCAGGACTGAGATAGGCACTAGATTCAGAGCCTGTGTGACTGAGACTGGCCCTGTTCTCAACTAGCTGTTTACACTTCTGGGAGGGGCAGAGGGCGTGTCAGGGGCACAGGTGTTTTGCGGTCCCAATGATAAAATGGAAATTAAGCTTGCAGTTCTGTGGCCAAAATTAGCATCTCTCTAACTCTCCCTCCTCACTGCACCTTATTTATTATATAGAATAAGGAAGGTGTGTACCTGTGATGGTTAATTTTATGTGTAAACTTGACTGAGCGACGGGGTACCCAGATATTTGGTCAAACATCCTGAGTGTTGCTGTTAGGGTGTTTTGAGATGAGATTAGCATTTAAATCAGTTGCCTGAATAAAGCAGATTGCTTTCCCTAAGGTGGGTGGGCCTCATCCCATCAGTTGATGGCATGAGTAGAACCTCCCTAGAATAAGATGGAATTCCTCCTGCATGCTGGCCTTCAAACTGGGACATTAGGGCTTGGGGGTTTGGGGGGAGGGGTTGTTTTGGTTTTTTGCCTTTGGACTTGAACTGGAACATCTGCTCTTCATGGGTCTTGACCCTGCCAGCAAGGACTGCAGATCTCCGAACTTGTCAGTCTCCATAATCATGTGAGCCAATTCCTTATCATAAATCCCTTTCTAGACATGTGTACATTCTAGCGGTTCGGTTTCTCTGGAGATCTCAAATACAGAGATTCAGTTCTTGGCCCAGCCAGCTTCTGAGATCCAAGAGTGCCCATTAAGCCTTCCACCCAAAGTGCTACCCATCAGTCTGGCTTCAGGGGGAAGAGCCGGAAGGAGGCGGTAGGACGGTCAGGTCAGCTGAGAAACTGGTCACATCCGACCTGCTTGCATGGAAAAACGGAGCCCCTCCTTCCAGGCCTGTCGGAGTTTCCCCGAACCCAAGTTCATGGCACAGTCCTTCGGGATCTGAGCTGCTTCTCCCACCGGCCTGGTGAGGGATGAAGAAATGAGGCCCTGGGCAGCAACTCCCATGGCAGAAGAGGCCTGGAGTGGACTGTTCTGGGGCTTGGCTCAGAGCTCTGGGGTTCACTGCCAGTGAGGCTACAGAGCACTTTACAAACCAGTTTCATCTGTGAAACTGCGAAATCCCCGCCAGTGTAAGTGCTTGTTGAAGAAGTAGGTTCAATCTCTATCTTTTATAATTCACAGCCTCTGGGGAACCTTTGGACCCTTGAAGAGCATTCAGCGAAAAGATGGTAGCCGCCCTGGTCGGGTGGCTCTGTTGGTTGGGACACCTGTCCTGTACACCAAAAGGTTGCAGGCTCAGTCCCTGGTCAGGACACATACAGGAGGCAACCAGTCGATGTTTCTCTTCATCACATTGATGCTTCCCTTCCTTTCTCTTTAAAATCAATAGAAAAAAACACGTCGCTGGGTAAGGTTTAAAAAAAAAGAACAGCTGGTCCCTCCTCTGAGGTCTTCAAAAGAGACCTAGAATGGCAGGTCGTTCCACTGAGTTTTGACAGCTTCATGGACAAGAAACAGTCCAGTTTATTTCTAGAGGCATTTTCCCTAAAATGTGTAACTCGAGTAGGTCCCAGAAACCTGTTAAATAAATGTTTCCCTACATATGATGATTTCATCTAACCTGGAGTTGCAGCTTGCATTTGCCTCCCTTTCTGAACAAATTGCAGTGACAAATGACCAGATCAGGGGGAAAACCAAAAAGCAACCACCCCATGACACCCAGAGCCGGTGCAGCTGTGGCCCCTTGCAGCTTGACACCAGGCCAGCGGAGCACTCAGCCGGCTGGTCATTTTTCTCAGCTGTAAACACAGTCCCTGCTGCTTTTTCCAGCCGGCTGCAGGGCGGAGGGGCAGTGTAGTCGATGTGGACGCCCATGTCCCTGGCCTCCCTGGAGCCACCCGCCTGTGGCTCCTCCCCCCTGGAGCTTGCGACCAGGAAGCAGCGCTTGAGAAAGCTGCTTGGATGGTGCTCCTGCTGCCCCAGATTCGTGGGGGAGTTGAATGGGGTTGCATGCTCTTGGTTCAGAAACTTTATTTGCAGAGTCCCCGGGTCATGTCCCCCGGCGGAATGCTTGCTCTTGTTCAGTTTTGGGGAGATGAGCACCAGGAAACTGCAGAACTTGATTCTGGCCGGTGGGATGCTCAATTCATTCATTTAGCAGCTCAACTCTGAGCCCTTGCTGTGTGCTATGGGGCAAAAAGACTTGTCTGCTGCCCTTAGAAAACATCCCCTCTTGCAGGAGAGGCCAGGCATGTCCCCACGGGCCCCGGCCGAGGGAGAGCTCCCATCAGCGCAGCAGCCGTGAGGTCCCAGCTCCAGAGGCAGGATGAGCAATAGCAGAGGGAGCGCTCTTCTGCTTCGGGTGACCCTGGCCGGGTCCCAGGTGATAGGCCGCAGGTCTCCTGACAGCTGCCGGGCTGCAGGGCTTCTGCTGAGAAGACAGCAAGTGTTTATGTAGAAACAAAGCTCCCACTTCCGCCACCACCCTCCTGCCCAGAGATAAAGAGCTGGGTGTCCGAGTCCGGCGGATTCCCTCGTATTTCCTCTTCCCGGATCCACAGGCAGCCCTGGGACCCCTCCCGGGGGGATGGAGTCTGCCCAGGGCCAGCTGCTTCCTCTTGCCTGTCCCTCGGCTTTGCACTGTGGCCACCGAGGGAGCTGCTGGTGGGGGCACAGCCCCTTACTGTCCCCAGGAACATAATGGGCTGGTTCAAACAACGGAGTGTGGTTACTGCCCTGGGTCTCCAGGTGCTGCCCGGCCCCTCTCTCACCTGGCCTTGTCCTGCCCTCCGGTTTGGAGTCCCTTCACCTCCATTCCCCCTCTGCATCTGCTCTTTGAGACCTTGGGAACCCCATGTGGAAATGGGTCAAACCTTTTGCTGTGGAGCCGAGGCAGCCAGCTGGGGAGGGACAGACGGAAGGCCTCCCCTATAGGGTGCAGCCGTGCTGTTCCAGGTGTTTGGGTCCTGTGGGTCTTCGCCGTGTTCAGGATGTGGGAGCAGCCTCAAGGGGGGGGGTCGTCTCCGTCACACACCATGTACCTCGGGCATGTACTTCCCACGGGTACAAGGCAACAAGGAGGCAGGTTTTCTGTGGGTAGGTTCCATCTGGTTTTGCAAAGTCAGCCTTCCTGAAGGGGCTTTACCACCTGCTGGGAGGCGTGCAGTGTTGGCAAAGTGGAGCTATTCAGGCACCTGCCCGCTGATGGTATCTCAAGAAGCCATAACTCATTGTTTCATTTTGGGTGTGGTATAGTCAGTGCGTCATCGGGTGCTATCCTGGAATAAAGCCAGGTGAGGGGGGAGCATCGGCACACCGGGGAGTTTTGTCCAAGTCCTTCTGATGGTCTGGGCCCCGCCTCAGTAACTGGAGTCACTCAGACCAGGAGAGCTAAGAACTGAGAGCTGGTCGGCGAGGCGCGGGATCTGGGCCTGGGCAGCTCTGCCACTTTAGGGTGGGATACCTTGTAGCTTAAGAGACTGAAAGGCCCATGTCCCAGGAAACGTGGGACAGTTGGTCCCCCTGCCTCTCCGAGCCTTGGTTTCCTCCTGCATAAAGTGAAGTGGGTGGATGGAGGTCCTGAAGGTCCTTTGCTTTTCTTGCATTATAACCTGGCCTCCCCCTACCCCACCCAGTAATTGCACCTCCTAAACCCCTTCCACCTGTGACTGCAGGCGGCTCCTGGTGAGAGGTCACTGTGCACGTGTGACATTAGGCAGACCTCCCTTCCTGGCCTCCAGGATGAGGCCACTGAACCTCATGAGCTCAGTGTAGAGCTGGGGGCCTTTTACCAGGTGGGTGCAGCACCAGAATGGCATCCTGAGGTTCCCTAGGAAACGGACCAAAGATGACAAACACTGTGGAGACGGGAACTATTTCCATGGTGCTGCAGCCAAGGAAACCCCGTGGGCTTGAACAGCTTCAATAAGCCAGCGAGGCCTAGCACTCAAGTTCAAAGCCTCGAGAGGTGGGTGGGACCTGGTAGGGGCCACACCAGGCTCCTTTCTCTGAGTACCCTCAGAAGGGTGGTTCCAGAGCCTCCTGGGCTGGCCCTAGTAAGGTCTGAAGGCATGGGCTGGAACAAGCCAGGTGTCACAGCAGAGCATTCCTGCTATTAAAGGGATAAGAGCTTTGAATAAGAGCTGCCAGCTGCCTTCCCACCCACACTCCAGGAGAGGGAGACTGCAGGATTCCGGGACAGGCTTTCTCCTGGAGCCCCAGAGCCCTCCTGGTCAGACTCCCATAGAGCAAAATTGCTTGATTGCCCAGCTGAGCTTAAAATTGGGGGTGATCGGGTGCTGGGCCCCAAGCCAGGCAATGGGCCATTCGTTTTCTAGGCACCAAAGACAAGCTTGCGCTGACTCAGTCAGACTGTTGGGTCTATTATAACCCAAAACAGACCATCTGCCTTCCCTCCTGTAATCGTTGTCAGTTTTAAATTCTGGGACCTCCCCCCCTCATGCCTCTCAGTTCTGGGCTAAGTAAGCCCCAGATGCAAGAGGCCCCATGGCCCAGAGAGTCTGGCATTTCCCAAGGATGCTCAGACGTTTTCTTTGGCCACTGTGTGGTGTTTGGGTGCCTGGCTTGGAGCCGAGCACCCGATCACGCCCAATGTTAAGCTCTGCAGAGGCCTATGGAGGGAATTTCTCAAACCAGCAGAGCACGAGTATCCCTTCCTTAGGGATGTCAGCCCCAGGTATGGGCGTTCCTGGAGCCGTCCCACCCAGGGAGCCTAGGTCCCAGCCTCTGCTTCTGTCTTCCAGGCAGGCCTGGCCTCGCCCGAGAACTCGGAGCAGCTCATCATTGCCCTGGAGCCAGAAGCGGCCTCCATCTACTGCCGGAAGCTGCGGCTGCACCAGATGATCGAGCTGAGCAGCAAGGCTGCGGTCAATGGGTACAGCTCCAGAGACACAGTAGGAGCTGGGTTTGCACAGGGTACCTCTGCTCTCTCTCTCCCCCTCCCTGCTCTCTCCCCTCCCACCCCTGCATGTCTCTGGGCCTCTATTATAATGCACTTGGTGCTGTAATGAAGAGTCCGAGATGCTGCCAGAGAGGTTGCTGTCAAGCACCTCTGTGCTCAGCCCCCCAACCTGGCTCCTCTAGGGGGCCCCAGTACACTTGGAAGCAGGTACCCTGGTTCATCGCCCACCCACGTGCCTCGGGAGGGGGGAGGGCACTTCTCTCCAAAAACTTGAGGGGGGCCTGAGAGCAGTCCTTGGCCTTGCAGTTTACTAAGCTCTTAGTCTTTCTTGTCTGTTAACTGATTCTTAATCTAATCCCATTTGCCTTTTATTAATCCCTCCATTAAGACTGTTGATTTATCTCTGACTCACTCATTGGAGCCGCTTCGTGTGTGATGAGCTCATTGTGTGTCTTAGCCATAAACCTGGCGAGAGTTTAAACTACAGGCAAAAAGAGCTGACTTTTCCTGACCTGGCTGAAGCTCATTTAGCTGTGGAAAGGTCACCTGCCTAAGCAGACTCAGGAACTCACGGGGAATCTTAAGGGACTTTTTCATTTAAAAAAAAAAAATCTTTATTGATTTCAGAGAGAGGGAGAGAGAGAGAAACATCAATGATGAGAGAGTCATGGATCCCCTGCCTCCTGCACACCCCCTACTGGGGATCGAGCCTGCAATCCGGGCATGGNAAAAATCTTTATTGATTTCAGAGAGAGGGAGAGAGAGAGAAACATCAATGATGAGAGAGTCATGGATCCCCTGCCTCCTGCACACCCCCTACTGGGGATCGAGCCTGCAATCCGGGCATGGGCCCTGACCGGGAATCGAACCAAGATCTCCTGGATCCTAGGTTGATGCTCAACTGCTGAGCCACACCGGCCAGGCAGAACTTTTTCATTTTTACCTGTGTGCAAGCCGGTCCCCAGAGCTGTTTTTCCTGGTATCCAGGGCTCTGTGGGTCTCTGTTCAGGGCCACAGAGTTTGCAGACACCTTAGGTCAGGGGCAAAGCCACCACTGTGAGTGAGTTCGGAAGCTAATCAGAGTGCGGTGGCGGGTGGAGCACAGCTCTGAGCTCTGTCGCCAGGTGAGGGCCTCGACCCACCCATCACCCAGTCTGGAAGGCCAGGCCCAGGAGGAGAGGGATGGGTCAGCCAGGAAGGTCTCAGGCTGTTTCCCCTACAGCCTTGTTCCTGAGTTTCCGTGGTCCCCACCCCCCGAGGCACACCCGAGGACCCAGGACCCAGGCTCACCCTAGCAGGCCATCTCCTTCAGGCTTCCCCAGCTCCTCTTCACAGGGTTCCTCTGCCCCAGAGGCCGTTGCCCTGCATGGTCACCCATTGTCACCCAGGACTGGGGCATCTGTGAACCTTGGCCACAAGACAGTGGCACAAAGTTCACTTGTCACCGAGCTGCTGCCTCAGGCTGCCAGGGCCCTGACTTATCACTTCAGATCTGATTGACCCGGGATGTATGGAAACAGGCTTCCCTTTAAATCCCAGGGCTTGACTTTGCTTTTTTCTAGCAGTGCGTGGCCTCAGCACATGCCCAGGTTAGCCTCACTGCTAACCAAACCAACTGCATTGCTTTAAATACTCGGGATGACATCTTTCTTTAAATTTCCACCTTTGTTATTTTAATTGAAAAAATAAAAGGAATGACTGGGCTTTTCCTCTCACGTGCTAGTTCTTCCTTAGTTGTCCATAAAAAAAAAAATTCATGAGAATTAGCTAGTTCTAGTGCAGCTCTTCCCACCACTTCCTAATTATAACACCCACCTGAGGGGAAAACTGTTCGTAAGCTTGCCTTGGTTTCCTTTCCTTCCCCATTGTCTCCCCCAACACTGCTCTGTGCCTGTGTTCTGTGCCTGGGGGACTTTGCTGTTGTCTTAAGTGCTCAGAGGGTCTTTAGGGTTTTGCAAATCCTCAAATTATTGGCCAGCACCCCCAGGGGCAGGAGGCAGGGTTCTGTCGCAGCCTCGGATTGCAGTTAGAACCTCTCTCCCAGAAGGAAAGGTGCTGTCTGGGGGGCCTGGCAGAGCATTTAAATCAGGATTACCCAGGATGGCATTGATGCCCTGAGGCACCCTCCCCAAGGCCGTCCCCTGCCTTGAGGCTCCTTCTGGGTGGATGCCGGTGGACACCTTGGAGGGGAACAGAGCTAGCACTCCTCCCCAGCACCGCAGGGTTTGCCGTCGGTATTTTTTTAGCCCAGGAGTATTTAATGAGCTCAGTCAAGGACACATTTTTCACAAAATGGGCTTAATTTGCCTGAAAAATGGAATAATTTTTTGAGAGCTGAGAACATGTCTTGTTAGCTTCGCTTGGCTGTTTTTTATGGATGCCATTTCATTAGTCATCGAGGTTGTTTTAGGAAACCAAAAGCTCACTCCGTACAAGATCTGCAGTAGAAATTCGTCTGGAGCTGGTGCTGGGAACAGGAGAGAAGCCCCGAGTTTGGGGGTCTGTCCCAGGCCTGCAGGAACTCTCTAATCCAGGGACGGCCTCTGCCCCATAAACCAGGGCCCGAGGGACTTAGAGCTGGCCCAGTATTTGCCATCCAATCCCCAGAGATGTTGTTTTGCAAACACTGCTCCTTGATGAGAGGCTAGAGGGTCAAGGGTTCTTTGTTGGATAAACAGCAACAGACAGATACAAAGTGCAGCACCGGCCTAGGGGCTAAGGAAATGGGAGGGGCAGCAGAGCTGTGGGCGGGGCTTTATCTGTGAAATAGGTGATTGCTCTACAACCTACGTGCCAGTGAAAATTTGTTGGGTACTTGGTGCTGTACCTTCATTGTCACCAACTGTGAGCCAGGTGTCCCACTGGCTGCTTAGGACAAACCAGAGAGCCAGTCCCTGCTCTGCCTGTGAGGCACTTAGGCCAAGTATTATTATCCCCATTTTATGGATGAGGAAACTGAGGCCCAGGGGCATTTGAGTTGCCCAAATTCCCACCTTGGCTGTGGCCGGCTGTCCCCAGGTGCCCTATCACAGCACCTTTCCCATTTCTTCGCATTTGTATTCTGCTTCTTGAGGCTTCACTGTAGACTGTTAACCCTCAGAGGCATGAGGGGTCCCTGGTCAGAGGGTTAATTTCGGGCTGCAAGACAGAGTGTGGGAACTGCGAGTCCCTTAACTCCCCGACCCTGTTTCCTCATCTTACTAGGACCATGATTTGTGCCCTGTCCGCCTCACAGCACTGTCGGGAGGCCCGTGGGAGATGGAATCCCCCATGCACGGTGTCATAGTCACTAAGTACCCACAGCCACAGCCAGGTTGTCCCCTCAGTGCTCAGAAAAAAGGTGGCTCAGGCTCTGCTAGTTTCAGATGTGCCGCCTGGTGGCGGAGGCGCCGCCTTGTGGCTGGAGAGCATATTGGCTTCAACACGGTCAGGAAGTGGCTCCACACAGTGTATCCAGGATCCAGATTAGCACGACATGCCCCATTTTCTTTGTACAGTGGTACCTCGATTTTCCAACATCTCCGCTGGCAAACATTTCGGTTTACGAGCGCTGTAAACCCGGCAGGAAATGCTTCGGTTTACGAACACGCCTCGGAGGTCGAGCATGCCACCAGCTTCCGCCGAGGGCAAGATCCTGAGGCCTGGCTGTCGGCTGTTGGTCCCTCGGTTTTCAAATGTTTCAGAACTTGAACGGATCGCATTCGAAAACCGAGGTGCCACTGGTATCAGAATTCCTTGATGTGAAGTTATTTAACCCAGAACGCCGAAGGCTGCTTGGCAGAACGCTTCCCCCCTGGAACAGCAAAGTCAGCACACGGGTCCATTTTATTAACCCGTTTCCCCCACATGTCCCTGGAAGATGGGGCTCTTATCCGGGTGAGACTTGCAGCAGGGTCCGGGCCAGACCCACCACACAGATGAGCAGACGAAGGCCGGTGGCCAGAGCTACTTGTCCTGGGAGGACTGCGTTGTAATTCCTGATGTTGCGCTTGTGTCACTGTCCTGACCGCGTTTCACTGAGTGTTCTGTCCCGAAGCCTGCTCCTGCCGCTGACTGCCGATGACTGACTGCCGCTCGTTCACGCTTTCTCACCCGGCATCGTTTTCTTTCTGTCGGCCACTAGCTAAGGAGCACGTACGGCGTAACCGGCAGAGTCGGACCTTTTTGGTGGAGAATGTCATAGGAGAGATCTGGTCCGAGCTGGAGGAAGGTAGCGTCCTTGAATGTCCTTTGCCTTTGCCGGAGTTGTGTCTGTGTGAGCGTGTGCTGCTGGCAAAGCTGCATTCCTGTTTGCACTTGTGGGAAATGTTCAGAACCGGTCGGTTTTAAAGACTAGTACTCCCCCAGGGAGAGCTCATGTGGAGCTGTCCTTTTGCATGTGTTAACACCACATAGACGCTTCAGAAAGGTAGGGACTGGAAGTCACCGGTTCCAGGATAAGGCTTCTAGGAAACAGCGTGGCAGGAAGCTGTCCACTTGGACGTGCCCGGTACGCAGCGGTGTGTGACATGAATGCTGTAGTTTGAGAGATTCACGCATCTGGGTTCTTTGTCTAACCATCACTCCCAGCAGCCGTTATTGCCGTCCCTTTAGTCCTGAATAACTCACTGTGCAGCTAATGAAAAGTGCTGGGTGTGCCATGTCATCACCGCCGGCTCGGTTCAGGGTGGGCTGGCAAGCGTCTATGTAAAGGATGGCTGTTTTGTTTTGTTTCTTTAACCAGGTGACAAATACGTGGTTGTGGACAGTGGCGGTGGCACCGTAGACCTGACAGTCCATCAGATTCGGCTGCCAGAGGGGCACCTTAAAGAACTGTATAAAGCTACAGGTGAGCCCCTGCAACGGCTGATTTCCTCCTACCTGAGCCGTGTCACTCATTTCCGATTTCACTCGGCATTTCATTGTCTCCGGGCCACCGGCACATGGCATAGTCGGCAGGAAAGGAAACTGAGGCTTATCTAACGTTGGAAAGCAAAGTGCAGTTAAATGTTCTTTAAAACGCAAACCACCGTCACTGGGGTTTGGCGTAAAGGGAGCCTGTATCAGATCCTGGCTGAGAAAGTTTGCTCCTGAAAGTTGTGGAAGGGTGTGATGGGAACCTGAAGGCACATAGGATTTAGTGCTAGGGCTAAGCTTTCTCGGAAGGTCCCAGGACACCTTGTGTTGGGTCAAGATCGCCAACCCAAAGAACAGGCTCTTTCCCTTGGTTGGGAAGGGGGTGAGCGACTAAGTGGGGCCTCCCCTTTTCCCAGATCCTGTCCCCGGGTGTCTGGGGTGGGAAAACCATGATACACCTAGTTAGTTAAATGTACTGATTTTATTTACAACGTAACTGATTTTAAACAGGTCACCGAGGCGTGATTTCTATAGGAAAGCTCTCTGTGAGGAATCAGAAGAGCCTCGGTCAAACCCCAGCTGTGGTCTGTGCTACTTCGTGTGTTTCGGAGAAGAGCAGAACAGCTGTGTCTCAGAGTTTGGGTTCAGTTTCTCCCCGTTTCTAACATGCCCTGCTCCATTTTGTTCTTGGCCCAGGTGGACCCTATGGATCCTTAGGAGTAGATTATGAATTTGAAAAGCTTCTGTGTAAAATATTTGGAGAGGATTTCATCGAACAATTTAAAATCAAGCGTCCCGCCGCCTGGGTTGACTTGATGATCGCGTTCGAGTCCCGCAAAAGGGCGGCCGCCCCGGACCGAACGAACCCCCTGAACATCACGCTGCCCTTCTCCTTCATCGATTACTACAAGAAGTTCCGCGGGCACAGCGTGGAGCACGCCCTGAGGAAGAGCAAGTGAGTGGGCCCCCCGCCCAGGCCCGCGGGCAGCGCAGTAGAGACTTCTCGGGGGCTTGGTTGCCCTCGGTAGGAAAGGCGAGCCCAGTGCTGGGCTCTTTCTTCCCAGTGATAAGGTTTCTGTTTCCAAACTGTCGATTTCACAGCATCCTCCAAAGTGGCAAATGAATTTTTTCTTTCTTTTGTGGGACACAAGGGGAGTACCATTAAGAATTCATGGATTTAGGCATATTGGATGCATTTTAAACCATGGCAATTATATCCTTAGTGATCCTCAAATTGTCCCGTCTTGGCCGGTGGGGACCTCTTCAGGTTGGCTCCTGAGTCCCATTGACATGACCTTTGTGGTCTTCACCCGTGGTCAGTGACAATGATCCTGACTCACCTCGAATGTTCCCTGCCACACCTGTAATGGGCTGTTTCTCTGAGAGGCCCTGGCTCCTTCAGTGAGAAAATAAGGAGATTTGACTCCAGGTCTTCGTGTCCTTGGAGTAGGGTCCTAGCCGGACTCTTACTAGGCTGCTGTTCTCTCTGCCCCAGTCCCCTGCAGAAGGCACCTGCTTCTAGTTGGCTCCCAAGTCCTGCCTGCATAGTCCGGGGCCTGCCAGTCCTCCCTGGGGACACTAGCTGTGGCCAGCCATTGGGTCACGCCATGCCGTGCCACATAGTCCTTTGGCCTAGGCCAGGGAAAGAATTCCCGATCTATGAGACATGGCAGCATCCAGAATGTGATGCTGGGAGGCAGCTGGAGGTGCTTTTGCTGCAGGGACAGAGACACCGTTTGCTTGGCCCCTTTGAATCTGAGACAAGGCGGGGTACACATGGCCCTCCACAGTCCTTGGCATTCTTTAGCACTAGAAGGTTTCCAAAGTGTTTTCACAGACATGGCATTTTCTTGACCTTCACAACAGCCCCTGTGAGGGAGGTAAGGCAGGTGGTGTTATCCTTGGTCTGCAGATGAGAAAAGCCCGGGGCTCAGAGGAAATGCCTGCCCGAGTCCTGCAGCTCCTGAGTGGTAGGCGCCAGACTGGAGCCCAGCAGCCTTGGCTCCCGGTCCAGTGCTCCTTCTGCTCCGTGCCGCTGCTTTGGACTTGTCGCTCTTTCAACAGACAGTGAGGGGCAGCGGAGGGACTGGGCTTCTCACTGTCATGGGACAGGGAGGGCCTGCAGGGCTGCCCCTGAGCACACAGGTAGCCTTGTATAGCAGCAGCGTACTGGACCCATCGTAGGAGCCTTTAATGGGCTTGCGTCCAGCTATTGCTCCATGAAAACGTGGTCCTCCGGAGGAGAGCTCCCTTTATCTCCTCGCCTCCAGCACTAGACATTGGCTCCCACTTCCCCGGGGAGGGTTGGCCACAGTGGAGGCCAAGAGGAACAAAAGAGGCTGTGTCTCAGCTTTGAGCTTCTAAGTGTCTAGGTCCTGGCAGGTGAGGGTATCTCCAAGGACTTGAAAACCCCTTTCTGCCCCTTGACAGCTGCTCTGCCAGGGCCTGTGTCTGTGCCTGTCTGCGTCTGTGGGTATAGTTATATACTCACCGCTCTTTCTCTCTGTGCCCCCCCCCCC